CGGAACTGTGACGAAATGAGAAATGGATTAAGATAAACTGTTAACAGCTGTTTTTTAAAACGGTGTGGTTTTTATCGGGTGTGGCTGTGCAGAAGAAATCAACACAAGCAAGCAGAAGAGAAATAATTTGAAAATAATTTGCTCACGATATATACAAATATATTTGTACGAATACGAAACAGACGGATATGTATGTTTTAATACCTTTGTGGACAACTGTTTTCTAAGATACTGTGCACATGCATTTTTGTTTTTATACATACAATTAAAGCATACACTTACAATTTTCATTGACGTTTATTATTGAAACATCGGGCAGCTACATATAGGAACTCCTATATTCTGCCAGGTGGCCTCGATTCTAATGTGTGGAAATGTGTAAGGGCACATTGTTTTATGAGACTGGGAAAAAAGAAAAGGAACTTGTAATTCAGCACTATAATCACAGTAGCATTATGTATAAACTCAGTTTTCACAAAATTAAAAACTGTAAGATATACAGTCACACTTCCAAAAGGGATATTCATTAGTTTACTGAATATATTATGTACACAATTAATACGTTTGGTCAATTTTACAACAGAGCCTCTTAACATAATAACAATTTCCAAGACATTTACAGGAAACAAAACAGAAGTATTTATACAATGAGGCAGAAAATAATGAATGCACAAGGACATAAGAAATTAACTATCATCTCTTAGAAGGAACAAGTGCTAAACGGTCATAGAAGAAATAAAACTGTTAAGTAATTATAATTTAAATATATCTATTTCTTAGATTTAGATTTAAGACTAGGAGTAGGATTAGGGTTAATGATTCAGTGGCTGTTTTTGCAGACAGTTACAGTTTTTGCCCACTGTAAACACTGTGGGGCTAATCTTGGGATATTCAACATTGAATTCTTTTATGAATTCAATCGCCATTATTTTAAAGTGTTATTGATCAATCAGATACTGGAGGCAGGCAGCAAAAAACACCTTTATCTTCCCTTTATCTTCTTCTTACATATCAAATATCCTTAAACTCAGGTGTTTAGTTTATTTTCTCAGGTGATTATTTTTTCTTTGATTAAGTTGAGGACTGCAATTTTAATAATGAATAATTTTCCTTTAATTAGGGTATTGACCTCTTTAGTAAAAATGTATTAATTTACTTAATGTGGAGTTGATTAAAGTATTTACAGCTTTTTGCCTGTAATGAGGATAGTAACTGCAGTTGAGTTGAGCAGATCTGCTCCACACCCATAGTCTCCAGGAACTTGGGAATTTCTGGGAACTCATGCTTCCACCCAGTCCTTACTTCTGTCTCTTGGGCTGGGAGAATTTCACCCTTGCGTATTCCACACTCTCTGTTTTACTGTCCAGCCACTTGTCCAAGTCAAGTGACGAGGAAATGTTCATGTTTAAGAAAACGCAAAAGCATTTGAAACAAAAACAGAGAAAAAACAGAAGAAAATCACTTTATATGAAACAGAAAGATGAGGTAAATCCTTTAGGGCATATAAGAAAGCAATACTACTACTATAACTACAGATGATGATGATGATACTACTACTGATAATAAAGCTCTGCATTGCAACAAAAAGCTTGGAAGAAACAAATGTCTGTATGCAATTCTCTGTATTCCTGGAGAAACATGAATGGATATGAGTAATGTTCCAAAAAAGATAATTAAATACATGTTCAGAACATCGAGAAGGCAAGCTTCAGATCTTCAAATGAAAGATATCACCAAGATTACAGATTTAAGAATGTGGACTAATTCCACCAGCACTTAATTTCAAGTTGACACGCTTGTCCTACCTGTGATTCTGTATTCCTTCTCTTGGAATGTTTGTCTTCAACACTGACTGAAGCCTTTTCCTGTCCTGTGGAAGAAGGCTGAGTTTAAAGCTCTTTTTTAAAGTGGGAAAAAAAGTCTTCTCAAGATGTGATTGAGGACACACTCAACTCTGAAAAGGATGGTTCTACTTCGGAATCCTGAAGGTTCAATCTGAATTGACCTTGATGAATGAAAGCCAGACCTGTCGGCCTATGACTTGACTACAGTAGCAGCTAATCTGCTCCTTGAGGTTGTTAAAGAGCCCCTAACTAATGTAGTTCAGTTATTTGCAACCCTGGTCATGGTTGTCTTCAACAATATTATCTTCAGATATTAGGCGTGTAACAAAAAAAAGATTATTTTAGATTCTTGACTCAGGTTCTCAAAATCCTAAAATCCATTGATCAATGAAGGGAAGGGGCTGTTCAGCAGCAGGGCAAGGATTCAAGCTGAAATTAAGCTTAAGACCATTCAAAGTGTCAAATGGGTGACATCTTTTCATGCAGGACTTTGGGAGTGTGAAACCAATTCCAATCACGCAATGCAATCAAAGCTGACTCCATGTCATTCTTAAGAAAGGGATAAATTCTGAAGGTACGCCACCAAACAAGCAACTTGGGCCGAATGGCTTCCTCTTGCTTGTAGCCTTAAGTGTTATGTTCTTAAGATTGAGGTGCAGAGAAATACAGTGCCCTCCATAAGTACTTGGACAGCAAGAGGGAAAGATCGACTACAAAAAGTAGTTATAAAATGATAACTCATAGAGTATGCACAGAAATACCCATAAATGAAAGGTGATATTCTTTACCCTTTCCTCATTTTCATCTTTTCACCTCAAGTCCGAATTGCTTGAGTATACAGCAGCAGAAACAACCATTTTGACTCCACTTTCCCAATACGAATGGAGGGCTGTTTAATTTTTTTGAAACTGCTGTTTGTGTGTACTTATTTTCTTATTATTCATATCTTATTCCATTGTGTAGCAAGTGATTTTCATTTTTATAGGCAAAACATACAAAATCATTATCATTTATCTCATTGAAGACATCTAAATCCTCATACGGGTGTGCTGATGCAGAAAGTCTGAATCTTCATTCATGTACAGTATTGATAGTATTGGAATGGTACAACATATATTTACCTGCTTTTGTTTTCTTGTAAGACAGGCACAGTGCGATTACCAGCATTATAATGACCAGCACCAAAAAAGAGATCACTGCCCCTGCCCCACTGAGAACCGCAATTGTATTGCACACTGGACACTGTTCTGGGACAGAGAGAGAGGAGACAGTGAAGACCTGATAATGACATTGCAGATGTTTCATTTCAGTCTGTTTAATCAGACGGCTTTTGGCGTGATTGATAATGACACTTCATCAGCCTTGTCAGAGGAAGTAGTGTGTATGAAGTATTTTCTAAATGACTAATAAATTCTTCACTGTTTTTTTTTTTACTCTTAAATTTTTCATGGCCCTTTCGTTTCTTCTTTTAGTCAATTTTTTATTTATTTTCCTTATTCTTCCTGCTACATCATTGCTGTTTGATTTCTTGCAACCAAAGAGGAACCTCCTTTCCGTGATCTGATCATTTAAACATTATCTCAATATATACTGATTATATATACACTAATAAAACGATAAAATGAGCATGACAAGGCATGCTAACTGCACCCGTCACCAAGCGTTCGTAAGCACAGCAATAAGACAGGAGATGGTGTTGAGTAAACATTCTCAGAAAACAGAAGAAGCCGCACATTTAATGATTGCGGAGAAAAGATAAAAAAAAAAACAATTTATTTAGCGACATTTGTCTCTTGTCTGCCTAGTCCTGGATAGGTTAGTTTCCGATTGGCTCGGGCTTTGCACTGGACTCTCAGTTCACCCAAAGGGATATCTGTCACAGAAGGAGCTAATTACGTTTTTTTTTTGTATTGTAGTGATGGCTGTGCCTTTGCAGTATAATGAGGATTCTCCCAAGCGCGTCTGTGCACTGCAGGGTGAAATGAATGTCGGGCCATGGGAAACAGGAAACGGAGACTCTGTATCCATTTCTAGGATGCTGTCTATCTGCGTTGAGTTTGTGTGTTCGCATATGTTTCTTCCCACAGTCCCTAGATAGACTAGAGGGTTTACTGGTGTGAGTGCGTTAGTGTCTGTCTCCACTGCGATGGACTGGTGTCCTGCCTGTCCTGCCGATCCCACACGACCCTGAATTTTGAAGAAGCGCTTAGAAATTGGACGGATGGTTGACTAACGAATTGCAGGTTTTTAATTGTCGAGGAGTGGGAAAGGTCAACTGCATTCCGTATTTGAAGAGGTGTTAATATAAAAGCGAATATTTCGGACCTCTCCGCAGCACAGGCGCTGGTGTTAATGGACCGTGTAAATCTTCAGCGGGAGATGCGCGTAATCACTCGAGGCACAATAAAAAAGGAAAATAAAAAGGGAGGCAAAGTTTAAATGTTTTAAGTCGTTAACATTTTGTTGATCGCTCTTTCTACACGTCTTACTATGACCATGGCACATCTCTCTCACCTGAACTGGTTGTGTTTTTTTTGTATCCCTTGTCGCTTTTCGGCCTCGTTAGTTGTTCCTCTACTGTGATAAAAACGCAACAGAAAAGGTGTTTGTTAGTTACAGAAAGACGCCATTTACAGCAAGCTTGTTAGTTCCATTATGCACACGCCCAAAAGCAACTACTGCGAGTTTTCAGGAAAAAATAGGATGCAATTCGTCTGATTGCTTTAAGCATCAGAAGGAAAAAAGCTTTCGAGAGGAATTTAAAAAAAATGCTCCCGAGTCCCCTTGCTCTTTAAGGCACGTTTACAATCTGTGCTTAAGATGAAGATGACATTTTCGTCCAATGAGATATATACAGTTTTAAAATATGATAATACATCTGAAAGAATAAAACATGTAACAAAGCAGCCTCAGAAACTCACTGTAAGAATACAAAGGTCAAGCCTTTCACCTTTTCCCTCGAGTTCTTAGACCCCGATGGCTTGCCACTTGTTTATAGTGGAGAAAACTGCAGGTCTAAAGCAGACAGTTGTTGTTTATTTCTGAATAATTCGATTTTTTCATTCAAAATGGATTTCACGGGAAAATCCATTGATCCTATAATTTATTATTTAACGCTATAAAATACATATGCGGCGTTTACGTTTTGTCCTGTTTTTCTTAAGAACTGTGTGATTGTTATTATTCTTGTAAGTTGATTGTAAGTATACGGTTTTACAGTTTGACCATAGACCGGGACGGTTAGATTTTTAATGAAAACAAGCATTGACAAGCCGCAGAGCGAATTGACAGCCAGATAAGTGCCGTGCAATATTCTAACAAGGTCTAACAGATATCCCAGCCAACTTCATTCATTTTTGCTGAATGTTCCGTCTCTATTTTTCTCTGCTATCAGAAGTGGGTAAGGGAAAAGTCATTTGAATGCGTGATATTTTACCTTGATTCAGAATTCAGTTAGCTACCATTTTCTGTGATTCTGTTTTGGTATCCATGTTTTAAACATTTTTTTTTTTTGGTGAACACAGTTTTGCTAACTTGATTACCTACAACGGGTGATTACCTGTCGACTGTTCCTGTTCTCCGATTGCTACCGTGAACCCATTCCCCAGTTGTCCGGGATTCCAGTTTTCTGCGCAGTAGTAAGTCGCGGCGTCATACTCCTGTACTGCGCTAATCCAGAGGGCACACTTTTTATCCAGGGTGGTTTTGGGGGCGATTCTGCTACTGGCCAGTACAGGAGCAAGAGGTCTGATCCCGTTGGGTTGAACTTTCCACCAGCTCACCCTAAAACACGATTTGTTTAAGCTGCAGACTAAAGTGATCTCCCCGCCAGGGTGAGCTGTCAGCACAGACGTCCGAGCCGTAGATACCGCTGTCTCTGCTGCAGGAAGAGAAACGCGTTAGCGCGCAGTCTGGACGAAGACGAGCAATTCGAGTCATCTCAACAGCTTTTCAAGTTCTTTGGAAATGTCATCCTACCTTAGGCTCTATAAAACTTAAGAGTGTAAATCCATTTCAAAAGTGTGGACTAGGGTTCAAAATAAACACGGGAAGAAGATCGAGTTTCGTAAAGAAATTTAAAGGGCAGTTAAACCAAATAATTAATTTGGCGATTGAACACCGACGGGTTGCGCTCTATTTTGGTTAATTTAGAAAAAGCTGTAACATCAAATTAATAATGCGGATTTCAGTATTTCATGATGAAATGGTTAAATGAGATGCTGGGATCAGATAGCCACTTCTAGCCGAAAGTGACGGACGGGCCGAGCTACAGTATCTTTTGCAATCTAAAAGATCACAAAAGTAATCTTTCTTATATTTTAATGGTTTTAAAACAATTTCAAACATCATTTGTAATCCAGCTGTCGTTTTACAGAAACCGAAGGTTAACTGAAAAGGCAGTATGAACTGGCTTGGGTTTATTTATGATTTTCTTTTTTTAGGTCTTTAATAATATTGCTTCCGTTACTAAATTACAAAGTCGCAATGTTGCATTGCGCGATGGAGGTCCATTATAAACCTTAACTTTTTAACTTCCCTTATGTACCTGGAGTGCGAGGGTCTGGTATGAGCTGAAATCACTTCGAAAATGCTAAAAGGTTGGTTTAATTCAATCTGCTAACGATTCATATGTACTGTTCCCCGAAGCAAAACACGCTTTAATCCTTCTTTATTTTCGACAGTTGTATAAAGCATTGGGATCAAAGTCGTGATAACACAGCACCTTAAAATTCCGATCGAATTCCGATCGAATTAAAACACTGTCTCGTGAATGAAAATGTCAGCATTTCTCGGATTTACAATTTGATTATCATGGATACTTCATTTATTTATTTTCTTTAGCCAGTGCTATCCCCATCTTGTATTTTAGCTTCATACATTTGAAAAAAGGGAAGGAACGATATCAAGTTAAATACGTTGGAATTACTAAATATTAATTCGAATTCATACTAGTTGCAATAAGCAGTATTTAAATACTTAGGGTAATTAAATTCGTCGACAACAGTGCCTTACAAATTGTCTACCAGTGCCTATAGGAAAAGCGCCATCGGGGACAACTATCAGAAACGGTACCGACTCACGACATACAGCTTAGTATAACCATTGTCATTTCTGCCACTGCAATGTTAATAAGAATACTATCAATAATAAACAATTAATACAATCTTCCTTTTCTATAGCATGTAAAAACGTCTCAAAAAGCTTAAAACAAAAAACAACAACAATTGACAACAATATTAAAATACCTACAAGTAATGCACATTCTAAGAGGCATGCGGTTAATAAAAATAATTAACATAATACATTTAATTATATATTGAATTATATAATTGATCAAGTCGTCTTAAAATTAGTCTGAATGTATTTTTTTACCATTTTCTTTGTATTGTAGCAGAAATACGTTTGGTATCAGTGTACGTATAGACGTGAATTCTTTAGCTATGGAGTCGCTGTATCCATAATCGTTACAGTAATGTGTATTAAAATAACTGATCTTTTTGAAAACAATACACCTAAAAGGCGGACAATTTGCTAAACTTAACATTTTCTTCATTAAAAAGTATTAATGGAATTAATGACGAACAACAACCAATATTAGTATATATAATTTCCTAGCATGTTGTAGATGATTTAGGATTATCTACGAACAGTAACCCCGAAAACAACATTAGCCAATAATTCACAATCGTGTGCTTTATGTACCGAGGACCTGAATTCACCCGAAATTCACTTAATCAGAAGTCAACCGAATTTTCCTGTAGCTCTAAAGCGGCGCTTACCGTATAGCCAGAACGACAGGAGTAGAGTTGGGGCTCGCATGTTGTCACCTGCGACAGAATTCAAGTGCTGTACAGGACACTCTGAGTGATCGCTGAGTGTACAGCCAGGCGAACCACACAATCACCCCTTTCAAAAACTCCCTTTCCTTTTTTAGACGAGGGCTGTATTCTGTGTAAGGCTTTTATCTGCGCTTTGGCGGTGAGATTAAGAAATAATAATTGAGTCCCAGTGGTTCACACATTGCTTGATTGGTTGATTGAGAGTTTATTGCAGACATTGAATACTACGGGAATCAAGCTCACGTTATGAAATGATATTTAGCTAATGAACAGGCTAAATAGATGAACCTATCGACGAGTCAGTCAATACATAATTCAACCATCAAGCTATCAAGATATGTGTTCAGGCTGGTGGCACTGTTCTGTTGCAGATTAAAAATGAATGTATAGCACAGTACAAAGCTTTCATAATTTGTGCTGGCTTTATCACATACTATGTTGTTTTGGAACACCACACTGTCTCTTATTGCAGTGGATATACAAACACCAGAGACAAGTGAGAATTCCCTGTTTCTCAGAGATTCAATCTAAGGATTTCACTTTTGAGTGAATTTTTCACTGCAATTTTTAATACTGAAGCTGTTGGAGCCAGCTATGAATAGCCATCGTTGTTTTTGCTTGAATAATGCCCTTTAGCACATACTGTAGCACACTGAGCATAAAGAGGGTTTAAAAGGAACAAGTAATAGGTTTATTCCATGCTGAAAAAAAGAAGAAAGAGAACACGTTTCGGCCGTGGAGCCTTCTTCAGGTGTCAAAAAGAGGGTTAAAGAGGGTTTGGTCACTGTTAAGAGGGTTTGGTCACTGAGTAATCAATGTTCCCTTGTTATCTTTGCGTGTGATTGACTTGCTTATGTGTTGACAGACAGATTGTGCTAACAGCCTTGTAGCTCCTACTCCTTTAGGTGGTATCATTTTCAATTCTTATCCCCAGCACACTTTATGGCATTTTAAAGGGTGTTTTGTCGAGTAAGTCAGGTTTTTAAGTTCCAAATTGAAATGATCATTTCAACAAAGCAAGCTGTCAGCCCTGATTGGTCACCTAAAACCTCTTGCCACTGTGGTAGCTGATACCTTCCAGTGCAGAAGAGCAGAGTGTGGCCGCAATGTTAAGGTCTGTGTTCTGCAGCTCACAGTGTGCACTGCAGCTAAGGTGCTGTGGTTACCCAGACTCTATCTTGCCCTTTATTTTTAGATACGGTGCAGCTTAGGTCTCCGCAATTGCTGTTTTAATGACCTGCAGTAGTATTCTTAGACATGGGTTCAGTGTTGTTATTCACAGATTTAAAGTAGCCCACACACTTGTAAGGTTATGTGAAAACGCATAATGGCATTGTATTTATAACTATGACACATCAGGGGAAAATTTCAATCAGATGTACACATCCTGTACAGTATTTAATAAACATTAACAGGAGAAACATAAAGAACCTCTCAATGTTTTATCAAAACGTAAGGGAAATGAGTGTGAAGAAGACACCACATTGATAGGAAAGAAACAACATAAGTACTGTAGGCTTCTGTTAGCTACTGTATAGTCACACTTTGAAATCTCAGTTTGCTTGACTGCTACGTCTTTGAGTCTGTGAGTTTTTGACTTCTCCTCACAGACACAGATTGTGAATACCACAATCAAAATCTTTATGAGGTGGAATGTCTTCAGTACTTATTGGAAAGGACATCCGTCTATTAATTTTCTAACCACCTTATCAATTCAGCAAACCGCCTAACCCAACAAGCAATAGGTGTAAGAGTACTCCCTGGACGGGACACCAGTCCATTGCAGGACACAGACTAACACACCAGGGACATAAATCAATTAACCTACCAGTATTGTATGTCTTTGGACTGTGGGTGGAAACTGGACAGGACAGGGGAGAGCATACAAACTCCACACAGATCGCACTCCAGATCCCGAATTTAACCAGCCCCCAGCAACATTATTGTTCCTGCTATTGATTGTATAATAATCACACTGAAGATTGTTCAGGTGACATCATTGTCCAAGCAGTTGACCTAAAATCTTTTTTTTTTTTTACAATGAAACATCACCATTTCATTGTCAGTCCACACTCATTTCTATATCACAAGGAACAAAATGGTTTTAGGAAGTCTGTGTCATAATGTAAGCTATACGTGTATTGAATTCCATTCACGAAATGTTCCGACTCACGATTTATACGGGAGTAGACGAAACCTTGTTAAAAAGAAATACATTGATAAGAGGGGAAAGATTAGCCGCGTTGTCTGAAGGTGATTTGAATGAACGCTTCCGCAAGAGTTTGTCGAGACTTCCATCGCATGTCCACGAAAAGGCTTGTGCACTGGGAGTACTCAATCAGTTCTACTTTCCGCGTTCTTCAAGGAAGCAATGATGTAGAAATGAGTAATAAACAAGAGAATAGCGTAGTCTGCCCTTGTGTTGCCATAAACAGTTAATTATACAGTTTCTCCGCAACATGTTTCTCCTTTAAACAGTGGGGAGACCGATATTCGGTGAGTGGTTTTCTTCCTTTCCTCTCTCTCGACGTCCGTATGCTCTGGACAGCAGGAAAAGCAAACCTCTCCTCCTCTCTTTCGTTTTCCGTTTCACCAGACTTGTAAAGACGACAAGAAGGAGACAAAAACGCAGTTCGGTTGATCATCACCATGCTCAGACATCAGTTTCAATAACCCTGACTTGACGACAGTGCGCTTCTCCCCGCATTTGGCATTGTCGCTGTTTCCAGCCAGGCTCAAAACTGCAGAGTGCGCTGAAGGACTGGCGCCAAGCCCCAGCTCCCCGTAGTCGGCAGGATTCGAACCTGCGCGGGGAAACCCCAATGGATTTCGAGTCCATCGCCTTAACCTCTCGGCCACGACTACATGCTGATCCGGGTCTCTGCTCGGGTCTTTGGGAGAATCACTTGAATTCAGCCAGCAGACGTCGACTTTCTGGAACGCATGAATGACACCCGTCCCTCCTTGCTTTTACATCACTTGAGCTGAAAAGATTTTTTTAAAAAAGACACGACACCCGCTGTTTCCAGCACCTGGTTCAGGCCCCTTGCTTCGAGTCACTTGATTGCGCTGTCCTAGAGAGGAGCCGGCGAAACACAGAGATCGGAGGTTGTTTCGACTTGGAGCTTTGTGCCAAGAAATACGCCACGGTGTTAGAATAAACTGGAGCGGCTTTTGGCGAAAAGACGGGTCTGCAAAAGACCGCGTCCCACTCTGTCACCCGGGCTGCACCACAGCAGCTGCTCACAGGAGCTGTCCCAGCACGCATCAGCACGGGGGCTTTCGCCTGCTCCGTTTCCGACCTGGGTTGGTTCACCCCTCTTTAGGCAACCTGGTGAGTCCAAGCTCCCTCGGGCTCACCATATTGATGCCGATGACGCTGCGGACCCCCGCTCAACACAGCCCACCGCCGTGCAGAGCTCCCGAGCGCAAGCGGTCCTGCGGCCTCAGCCTCCCGGCAGCTGGGATTACAGGCGTGCGCCACCGCGCCCGGCGAGGAACATTTTCGCTCTTTCTCTGATCTTCGTGTGCTTTCAGCCAAGTCCAGGGGACAGCTCGGTGTGTGACACGACTAGGAAACACTGAATGTCAGAGTGGAAAAGGGAACGGAGGAAAAGGAAGGCAGTGCCACACGCCAACGAAACCAGCAAGGCACAAAACTCAAGGAGTGTGCTGGAAAACCAGCGCCAAGCCCACAGCCCTCCTCTTCTCGTAGTCGGCAGGATTCGAACCTGCGCGGGGAAACCCCAATGGATTTCGAGTCCATCGCCTTAACCTCTCGGCCACGACTACACCTGGAGAAAGAGGCGCCCCTTTGCGCTCTGCAGATGGGGAGAATTGCTGTCATTTAGCCAATACGCGTCGCACGATTGGAATTAGAGCGTCAATCATCCCCGATCTTTTTTTATCATTCGCTCCAGTGTCCAAGAAATCACGAAGCACACTCGCAGTTTTCAGCCCTTGATTAAGGACCCTTCATGTCACGTCGCGATCTTCCAGAGCTGAGTGGGGTTGTCCTGGAAAAGCCCCACCACGTGTTGATGCACTCGTTTATTGGAAAACAAAACCGGTCGTGTTCTTGGGTATACATTTAAAGTGTTTAGGTAAATCTAAAAAACTATGAAAGTAACTATTTTACTTTTTAGAGGCATTGTAAAACAAGGCCTGTGTGGCACATGTCTGGGCGGGATGCTGAAATTGCACACATTTCCAACGCAAGACATTGGGGGGTTTTATTAGTTAAAACCTCAGATTTAAGCCCATAACCGCCTGCCGCGCGACCAGGTTTAACAGGTTGCCGTTTGCGACGGAATTCCGTTTCCTTTTAAAAAAAAGCTGCTGCGTTCGCTTTCAACAACAACAAAAACTAGCACACGGCAAAAGAAGGTTTTTTTGGCGGGCCTGTTTTAAAGAAATAGAGGTCAGTAAGTGACACCCAGCGTCGTTGAGTCCCGACAGACGACAAAAAGCTTTGAAAGGGGCGAGGATCAGAACCGCCGTTTTTGGTCGAATGCGAGTATGCAAGGTAGGCTTTCAAATCATTAACCCTCTTTCTGAATTTCCTATTCACATGGATATCCTGGCGCTACTTTTATTCCATAGAAATCGAGTAGGCTGCGCTTCTGCTCCGTCGTGACTGTAGGGTGTTCTGAAGTGGGGAAGGAGATTCAACGGCTAAGCGGCTCAAGAGAATCTGAAATATATAATATAACTTCATTATATGTTGGCTGAGATTTTCATCAATATTTGTGTTCATTCGCATCATCCACTGGGCTAAGTGAAATGGGGGGGGATCCAAATTCGTACTGAGAAATCCCGTGAAGAAAATGTGCTCTTGAAATCTGAAGACAGCTTGGTCAATTCCAAACTACTGGTTACAAATGTCAGATAATCTTTGAACTTGAACATTTACTGGTAAAGGGATGCACGGGTGACCGGTTTCGGTAAAACATCAAGACGTTTTAAAATAGTAAAGCTAGATTTTATATCGATGAGACACTTGGGCATCTCTTTTTCAGCCAAGCCCACTCTGTGACTCCTTTCCAAGTGTGCGGGCATGAGACCCGTTCTCACTTTCGTTCCTCTCTCCCAGGGATAAGCAGTGAAGGAGGAATGGATGTGGAGCAGGAAACAGGGGCCGGTTGTGTCTGCTGCAAACCCTCCGACCGCTGCAGGATCCCGGCCATGAAAGCCAGGACAGCCAGTTCCCGATGCGGCAGCGGGAGGAGAAGTGGCCGTCGCCAAAGGCGGCGCCAGGACTACGACTCCCCCCTGAGGCAGGCCGTGCGCAGCCTGGGAGGTTTCGTGTTCGGGCTGCTGCTGGCCTCGCTGTACGGAGGCTCGGTGCTCTTCGTGCAGAGCGCCAGCCTGTGGTACTGCCTGCTCTCCACCGTCACCGTGGCGGCGTTCGCCTCGTTCGGCATGGGCCTCTCTGTGCGCATCCGCTCCTCCGTCATGCTGATGCTGCCCATGTTGTGCTCCAGTAGGTGGCGCTCTCTCTGCTCTCAGAGTGGAGTCGGATCTCTAAAAAAAAAAGTAGTGGGGGCCATGCCACCAGCTTGCAGTTGTCCTTCATCCATCCATCCATTTTCTAACAGTTTTATCCAATTGAGTCCAGGGGGAATTGAAGCCTATTCCAGCAAGCAAAAGATAAATCCATCAAAATAAGAAAGTAAGAGCTTTTTACAAACAGATAAGGATGGGATGCTCATATTTGGGTGATGTAACCTATACGAGTAACACTATTCTTCTTTATTTGTCAGTGATCAAGAAAAAGATATACTGTCGTTAGCAAAATAGTAGTGAAGTTGATTAAGCAGATTATATCAAAATAGGAGTATTAGCCCACAATTTAGAAGCCGCAAATGAAATTCAAAATGATTTAGATGAAATACAACATTGGGCAGGTGACAAATACTTGATTTTGCATGCAGGTAGAACAAACACAAAACTATGCAAAACGGGAAACAGAGATAGAAGAGACTACTTATGAAAAAGACATTGGTGTTTATGTTGAGCATTAAGCGAAATGTTAAGCTGTATAGTTAAAAACCTACAGTTAAATCAAAGGATGTTATGTTAAAATTTTACCATTTTTACATAAAATGTTAAAATATTTACAATGCACACTGTATTTTACTACAATAGCTCCAGTCCACCACGTTTGGGTGTGTGTGAACCAGCATTGGTGGGCATATTAACTGCAGTGGGCTGTCCGATCCACAGGGGGGAGTCCTGCTCTCATTTCACTTAACACTGGTCTGATAAGCAGCTGTACTCTGGCACGGACTTCGCTTTTTATACATGTTATTGTTTTCAGATTCACAAGCTTCAGGCAACACCCACAGGACCGACTGGGAGATCCTCTGAGGTATTAGTTTGGCTCTGAGCAGCCTGAGAGAAGGGATAGTCTTATTGGCCTCTCTCCCCTCTCCAGATGATATGGATCAAACTGCTAGAGCAGGATATTTGATTGGGAGCTAGGAAACAGGGCTGCTTGTTACCACCATTTATGGGGTTCACCATCTCATAGTCAGTTAAATGCCCAGTTAGGGGCAGTTTTGAAGTCCCAGCTGCACAGTGTCCTGCTATTACAGGACCCAGGTGGTCAAACCACTCTCTCCTTTCTATCCCTGCCAGGAGAGGGAAAGAACTTCCTGCTGTTCATGGTGTTTTCCCTGGCTGTCCAGGGGCCACTGTCCAACACCCTGCAGAACTTCGACCGGGCAGCGGACAGTGTGGCCTGTGGGGCAGAGCTGGCGATGAACCAGACCAGGGAGCTGGTACAGAGAGCCACCACACCCCTGCTGCGTGAGTGTTAACACTGCCCTAGGCTAGGACTGCTAGCTCGTCTATGGACAGCATGTAGCACTGTTGAACTTTTTGGACCCTCAAACTGTATATACCTATGCAGATTTTGCACATATTTTATTGTTTTACAGTGACTATGAGTATATTTTGCACACACCTTACTACGTATTTATTGTATATTACTATACATATTTTAATTTTTTCGTCTATATTGATGTCTGTTTTTGCTTGTCTTTGGCTGGGCTGCTGTAACACCTCAATTTCCCTTCGGGATCAATAAAGTCTTATCTAATCTAATCTTAACACGGGCGTCTTCTCTCTGAGAGACATGCAGCCACACTGAAGACATACCTGCATGCCATTTTGTGGGATCTTCCCATGGGTGGCCACAGTGTGTGATGGCCATGACAGGATCTTCCCCAATGTCTGATGTCCACGGTCTGTGCTCCTCCAGGACCTGATGTTCGCAGTGTCTTTCAACCACTGTGTGTTTCTTTCCCCAGCTGTGTTGAACAAGGTGAAAGCCATAATGAGGAATGCCAGGCACGTGGCTGATAGGGTGAGCAGGTTCATCCGGACCCTCATAGACTCTGTCAGGCATGTGGGTGAGTGGCTCCTGTTTCCATTTATTTAACTCCTGCTGGTGGAGGATTAAGAGTCCTTGTCATTTTTCTGGTCTGAGATATGTGAGAGATGAATCCAGCAAATGGAAAAACCAAGAGGAGGTTCTGGAGCAACTGGACAGAAGGTTTCTGTCTGCTCCTGCATTTGTTCTTTCGAGGTGCAGCACTCTTCAAGATCAAGATCTTTGAGTAGTCTTGTCATCCTTGGTGGATGTTGGGTGGTGATTAGTCCATTTTTGTATTTCCTCTGGTACATATTACATCAGTTGAGATGAGGTGTGATGTACATGTCCCGGGAACAAGAATACCAAGTTCAGTCTGCTATGTAACCACCCATAATTCCCCTATAAATCATTGACGTGTGAAACTTTGGTTCTGACAAGCTTCACAAGAGTCACAACTATCAAACCATCATGGCTTGTGATAGGCCTGGAATCCAGTGAGAACCATAAGCCTCCCAGCCTGCAGTGGCTGCCAGAGGTTTTTTATCTGGAACCCTCAAATGTAGAAACCTAACACATGTACAATATTTCTGCATTGTCTCATTTACTGGTCAGTCCCCACTAAGCTGTCTCATTGTCTGTACCTGCAGCAGGATTGCTAGGAAAGCACAGACACTGACCCCAACCCTGGACTGTGCTCTGCTCTTTGAAGTTTGATGCAGTTTAAGTGTTTAGGGTGTTGATAAAAAGCAGAACACTGGTAGAATTCCAGTACAGTATTACAGACTGATGCATGATATGTAGACATGCGATTAAATATGGGGTTTCAAAGTACAGTATATGAATGCTGATTTAAAGATATGTGTAGAGATTAATTTAATGAATGGGTGAACCGAAAACATTTTAAGATGGGAAATGGTTAGAGCTTTTGATCTCTTGATCTCTGTGTCTGTCCCTGTCTGTCCTGCTGTAGCCCGTGTCCTGAGGAATACCTTTCACTTCCTGGTCAATATCGGCGAGGTGTGCAATGAGGAGCTGGGCACACCCTACAGGAAGTGCATCAAGATATTTGATGATGCTCAGAATAACTGCATGGAGCTGCTGTCCATCTTCTCCTTCCTGTGCTACATCTTGGACATCTTCAGACCCCTCTGTGGGCTAGCACACAGTTAGTGCTCTCACTTCTTCCTCTCTTGTTACTCAGAGTCTCTCCCTCTCTCGATACCTCTCTTTCCTGTGTTTCTCCTTTTCCTCTCTTCATTGACTCTCCAGCTTCAAATTTCAATAGGCTTTACTTGGGTGACAGCTCTTTGTTTGCTTTTTAAAAACTGTACAGGTCAAAGATAATGTGCTCAGACTCATAAATGGAAACCATTTACCACATCAGAATAAAAAAACATTGAAACAACACACACAAACGTCCCTTTGCCTTCCCACTTACAGCATCTGTACACCCTGGTCACTCACCCTCTGTGCACGTATCTGAAATCAGCTGTCTTCCCTGATTCTCTCCTGTCCCCAACACCTTCACTCAGAGCAACTGCCTCACCTTCATGGCCTCTTTTTCCTTCTTCATCTGCGCTCATCTGCGCTCTTCAAGTGGACGTCTTCACTAGTTGAGCCTCTCAGGAAACTCTTCCTTGTAATATTTTCGGTCCGAGTTGTTGATTTTGATTCGCTTCTATTCATTTGCCACTCTCTCTTTCTGATAGTTGTCCGGTGGTTCTGTGTCATCCCCTCCTATGTCATGAGCTGCGTCAAAGCCAGAATCTCTTCTCGTAAGTACCCCCATAACTTAGGCAAAGGTATGTTTGAACTTTGCATTTTGAAATACGAGGCACAGTCCTTTCTGAGCCGGCTGGTTTACATTGATCCTGTTGCACAGAAAACAACCCAGTACATTTGCCCATTATTGTCTTACTCTTTCCATGAGAGTCCTGGAGAACAGGCACAGTAGCACAGGCTGATGGGCGTCCTTCCCCTCTCTGTCTCTGCTTCCCAGCCACCATCAGCGCCTTCAAGAAGATGCAGCAAGAGTTTGAGTTCAACATCTCAGCCTCGACCCATTTGGCCACTCACCTTAACAGCAGCCAGTCCATTCAGCAACTGGCCCACAGCATCATGGGAGATGTGACAGTGGAACTGTACCGCTTCCAGGAGTTTGTGGGCCTTTTTGGCTATGTGGGTGTTGTCCTGCTGCTGCTCATGTACTTGCAGTGAGTGATTGGGGTTCCACATCACCAAAGCACACTGTTCACAATAGATGATTTCCTCATCGGTTGGGCAATCTGCTGGTTTAATCTCTGTTTCTTTTTTGTTAATAACTAAGAATTACCCATTTGGCCACTCCTTCCATTCAAAAACTGTTTCCTGCACATGTCTGCAAACTAAGCAACTACTGCAAGAATGAGAGCTACAGAAAATGTAAGAAAACACTGCCTGGATCATTTTTTTCTAGATTACAAATTGAGAGCACTTAGCAACTCTCTATACTTTACAAAGTGTGGAGAGGTTTCTATAGCTCAGATTACCAGGAGATACTTTTTCCATCATCATTGACTGGTACTGAATAGCGAGAATAAAGGTACAGGCAGATATTGCTCCTGTTTCTAATAGGCTCAAACTCTCAGTTGAATTGATAAAATATTGTTTTATAATGGGGTTATCAAGGGGGAACCTATATGTGGGACTGTCTGTATGTTTATCTGTACATCTGTACTTCTGTCTCTATGTGCTGTTTCCTGCAGGGCACTCTTGTACAAGAATAGGTACCTCTTCCAGGATGACTTTGACAATGTGTACATCACCAGGCAGTTTGTGGAGATAGACATGATGAGGGCGCGTCAGGGCAAGACTACACTGCTTCCTCTCAGCCGTGAGGAAGTCGGGAGCTACATCACACCCTGTGAGTGAATGCGAAAGAGAGTGAGTCAGGGAGACACAGGGTAAAGCTGAAAGAGAAAAAGTGTGAGTGGGAGATGTGGAACTACAGAGTAATGTAGTGAAAGTGAAAGATGGGGAAATAGATGGAGAGAGATAAAGCAGAAGAGCAACTGAAGAAGTTGAGGGAAATAGAGAGGTAGAGGAGGAGCAGAGTCATTCTGGGAAAGAAGATTTACAGTACGTTGTTCATTTGTTAGATTTGTAGCTTAGTGAGTTAGAGAGCCATTCTATTTGAAATGAGGTGCCTCCTGTTGTCAGTCATCTTAAACTCTCCTTGTGACTTAGTACTTGCTTTATTGTTGAGTTTAATCTCTGGTTGATTTGTCAATACCTCTTTTCAGCTGTAATGAGATTGATTTCCTGGTGCCTTTACACATCTGCATAGAAAGATCAGTTGAATGAATCTCTGTCCCCACAGATTCCCTCCATCTGACCAAGAAAGAGAGACAAGCCTATGCTCTGGACATTGTCAGCATCTTCAGACACATGTTGATAGGCTTCCTGGTGGTAGTGATGGACTTTCTCACCTTCTGGGTGCTGGACATGGTACGACACCTGGCCCAGGGCGAGGTGGTCGCCAGGGGTGAGTGAACTTGACAGGGGGCAAGGTCGTGGTTCTGGGTGGGTGGATGTGGCTTGGCGTCGAGGTGTTGGTCACGAGTGAGTTTCAAGCCTGTAAATGTGTTTTGTTATGAGAGTGTTGATTACTATGCTTCAGATGGAATTAAACCGTTACTGTGCTGTGTGATGAGAGACGTTTTTACTGTGGATCATGTTCTGAAAGGCTGTTACTGTGATTCATAAGCATAGATTACAGGGTCCGGTATGCACTCTAAACTTGCATCTTTATTAAGCAGATACGTTGCAGAGGAAACACAACCACACAAAAAGCAGCACATAAACACCAGTGTGTGATCAGTCCTTTACACTGAATGGACTCTCCATACCGATCCTGCCTGTTTCACCACAAAGAAGAATGGCTCTTCCCAGAAGCCTCATCATGTCTGTTTTCCCTCGCAGCCCCAATGCTGATTGCCATGGAAGTGAATGGCTCTGGCTACGCCTCTGACATCTTCAAGGACATTGTGGCCTCCTTTGACATCCTACAGAAGACCAACATCAGTGTCCTCAGCAAGAAGTGCCTGATTCAGCCTTCCAAGCCTGACTACATGGGTTACCTGTTCATAGGTAAGACACCTGACTTCAGGCCAATCTCTTCAGCCCCCAGCACTGATTTTTTACCAGCTGGCCTCCTGGTACAACAAGACATGCACCTTTGTCACTGGACCAGATTTGAGCTTTGTACCTGCAGCACTGGACCAGCCGGTCTCCTGGTGAAAAAAGCATCACACTTGAGCTTCCTTTAATGCCTTTAGCTACTTATGAAAAACAGCAGTTATCTAAACGACTGTCTAAAGTTGTCAGTTGTTATTCTCTGGGCCTCTGTGGTGTTTTAATGTTAAAAAAACTGCACTGTGTAAGTATAATATAATTTGTTTTCACTCTAAGATATCTCTCCTCCTGCCTTATACTCGGCACTCGACTACAAGGTGGAACTTGTGGGATTGATCAGACGTAGGTGATGTGGTGATTTCACCTGTTGAATGTCAAGCCAAGTAACAAAAAAAAAAGGAAGTTAAACAGAGGAATGAACAAACGCTCTCCCCTTTTATTAAGAGAACAATGCCATTGTCCCATCAGTATGTCAGAGCAATGCCTCAAGCTTTGTTTTGATTACCCTGATGGACATCAGCAAAAGCTGTCCCAGAATGTTGGAAGCTGGACTGGATTGGTGCACTTTCACTCACTGTCAGGCAGTTTTATAGCCAGCAACATCTAATCTGAAAAAAAGGTGAAGTCAAATACAGTCTGCCTATTAAAGGCCATGATCTAGATCAGATGATCATGAATCGCAAGACCTCATCACATTTATCGTCATGCTTATTCTCACACTGCCGGTTCCAGTGCACCACAGCCATCAGGACACAGCCATCAGGTGATTGGTAGCAATCTGCCTGCACCAGTCATTTTAACACGTACAACCAGGTCGTACCGATCAAGTCCTGAAGCTTTACTTGTTACCTTTCCCATCGACTCATCCTGGCATGACGACATTCCAGCAGCACAACACACATCCTCATGCCTCTTGCGTAACAGCACAAGCTTGGGCGGGAAATGAGATTATAACAGTTATGCTGTTGATCCCCTGTTTCCAGACTCGAGCCCCACCGAATGTTTCTAGGATGAGTTGGGATGGTGTGTGGTATTTCATGCTCAGAGTAAACAGCAAGAAGGCACATGTTACCACAGGCCCTGTGAGACAAAATTCCAAAAGACAGCGTCTGTGACCTGATGCAAAGCATGTGTCAAGCAACACACAGTCACACTACTAGCCTGGGATGTCCACAGTAAACTCACTGTTGATCATCTTTGTTGAACAAATGTTAATCAGCATGATAAATCTACTTATTTCAAGTCTGATCAATGACTTCAGTGTTTCTCATACAATATACTGTATATATATTTGTATTTTCATATAATAACTGTGGGAATTTGTTGTAATTTTTCATTATGAATTTATTTACATATTCATACATAAATGTTGAACAACGACAGTCATATCTGTAATTGGAAGGTTAGAAAGTAGTCTCAGGGGACTTAACTATAGTTTGCTTATGGTTCCATAATTCCATCACCTTGTGCTTTTTCCTGTTACCCACATCTTGACTGTTTCTGTAGGAGACTTCTGTGTTTTGTTCTGCTTTAAGTGGTCATTGCTGACCTGGCCTTTCAAAGAGCAGTCATGGTTCTGAAATCAAGACCCTTTGAGTGACTAAGGCTTGACCCCTCCCCTAGCACAGTGTAGTAGACTGTGAGGGC